GCTCACTGCAATCTCTGCCTCCCAGGTTCAAGCGATTCTCCTGCCTCACCCTCCCTAGTAGCTGGGATTACAGGCCTGCACCACCATGCCCGGCTAATTTTTGTATTTTTAGTAGAGATGGGCTTCACCATGTTGGCGAGGCTGCTCTCAAACTCCTGACCTCAGGTGATCCACCTGCCCCGGCCTCCCAAAGTGCTGGGATTACAGGCGTGAGCCACCGCACCTGGCCTGAGAAATAGAAAGTAAAGGTATTTGAAAAGAAAAACTGTGAGAATCTGTTTCCAACAGATCTTCAAGCAAAGTTGGTGTTAGACCTATTCAGGAATTAATGGCAAATGTGTGGGTGAATATAAATTAATATCCTGTGGGGTTAAATTACATATACAGTTAAAATTCATTACCACTACAGTGCAAAAGTAAGGGGGAGGAGGGTGGAAGGAGTTGAAGTGTTTCATGGTTCTAGCATTATTGGGGATATTAAGTAACAATTTGTATGAGACTGTATTGATGCAATGATGCATGTTATAATCATAACGATGTTAACAAGAGTGCATCATCAACAACAGAATAATAAAAATGTTTGACAAATCCACAAGAAAGCAAAAAGGAGAAAAAAGCAACATAAACAGGTAGGTCAAATAACAAAAGTAACATAGTAGATAAAAATCAATAATATAATTAATTACATTAAACATAAATGGATCAAATACTCCAAGTAAAAGACTAAGATGATTAAATTAGATAAAAACTCAACTACACATGGCTTTATAGAAGAGGACCTTAAGTATAATGACCCAGAAAGGTTGAAAGTTAAAAAGATGGAAACATTATACCATTAGAACACTAATTAAAATAAATCTGATTTAGCTACACTAGTGTTAGACAATAGATTTTCAGGCAAGCAGCATTACCAGAGATAAAGAGGGATATTTTATAAAAATAAAAGGAAAATGATATAATTTCAAAGCAAAAATGGATAGAACTTTAATAAAGTACAACCATAGTGGAAGATGTTAATACACCTCTCTGCAGCTGATGGACTAAGCAGACAAAAAAATCCCCAAGGATAGAAGATCTGAACAAGACAATGAACCAAGTAGATATAATTGACACATATATAGAATACCATATCTAACATCAGAATGCACATTCTTTTAAAGTGCACATGGAACATTTACCAAAATTGATCATAAGCTCAGTCATAAAACAAGCTTCAATAAATCTCAAAGGATTGAAATTATTCAGGGTATGTTCTCTGGCCAGGGGAATCAATAACAGAGACAGCTGCAACATGTCCCATTATATCTGCCAAGAGAAACACGACCCTGGCTACTTCCAACTTTCTTCATATAACAAGCCTTTACTGGGGAAACTGAGCATTGTTGAAAACATACAACTCTGCTCACTGGTCTCACTTTAAATTTATACCCACAATTCTTAAGTGGGCCCTCATTGTTGCCCAGCAGTCCTATCATATTTGCCTGGCCAATTCAGTCTCATGTTCAACTTTTATCTCTCTCTTCAAACCTCCAGGCTTGACTGAGAAAAAGCAACTCAAAAAAAAGTTCATCTAACTACCACCCATTGCATCACCTATTTGTACTTGTGCCTGTACTTGTAAGATATTCCATTTCCTCCTGTTATAATGAAAGAATGTGATTTTATCTGGAGCTAGATCTCCACTTGTGTGCTTTGGATTTCATTGACTCCTGCCTACAGTCAATGTAGGATGAGGATGCAGGAAAGAAGAACTGTGGGAGTAGTTATTGTCAGTAGCATACAATGTTGTAATGTCATCGACTTTAAAAAAGTTATTTTGGCATTCCCTTCCAGGCACTGCCTCATTTCCTTACATTTACTCACCTTTACAGCAAAACCCTTCCATATGATTGCCTGTATTCACCATCTCCATTTCCTCACCTACAATTCTAACCAGCAGGCTTGCATTCCACCATCATTTGATCTGTTCCTGCCAAGGTGATCCACAACTCTATGGTACCAGTGGTCAGTCCTCAGTCTTCATAACATGCACATGCTCATCACAGCATAACTCTCCCTTGAAACACACTCTTCTTTTAGCTTTAAGAATATCTCTTTCTCCTAATTTTCAGATTACTCCTCCTTGGTCTCCTTTGTTGGTTTCTTCTCTCCTTACTAATCTTTAAATCTTGGAGTACCTCAGGCCTCCAACCTTGACCTCTTCTCTGTCTATACCACCTCTTGATGATTTCATCCAGTTTTCTGGATTAATACAGTTCATATGGTGACGATACCCAAATCGATATCTCTAGCTTAGGCCTCTCCTTTGACTCCAGACCTGTTTATCTAACTGCTACTTGACTTCTCTACTTACACATCTAACAGTATTTTAAACTTAAATCACCCCCCAATCTGCTCCCTGCCTTGCCCGAAGTCTCTTCTATTGTAGTGTATTAGTTTCATATTGCTGCAGTAACCAATTACTAGAGATTTGATGGCTCAAAACAAGTCTCTTACAGTTCTGGAGACCAGAAAGCCAAAATCAATGGAAACCAGTGCTCCTTCTAGAGGCTCTAGGGGAGATATGGTTCCATGCCTTTTTCCAGTCTCCAGAGCTGCATTTCTTGTATCCCTTGGCTTCTGGCCCCTTCATCCCATCTTCAAAGCCAGCAATTCAGCATCTTGTTTCAGTTTTCACATTACCTTTTTCATCTATGCAGTCAAATTTTTCTTTGCCTCCCTCTTATAAGGACATTTGTGATTGCATTTAGGGCCCATCCAGGTAATCCAGGATAATCTCATTTAAAAATCCTTAATTTAAACACATCTGCAAAGTCCCTTTTGCTATATAAGGTGACATCCATAGGTTCTGCAGATTTGGATGTGGACATCTTGGGGGCTATTATTTAGCCTACCACACATTGTAAATGGCATCACCCTTCTACAGTTGCTTAAGTTAAAAGACAACTTAAATCCTTTTTCTCTCAAGCCTTATATTATCTGTCAGAAAGAATCTATCAGAAAGTCTTTTAGGCTTCATGGTTAAAATACGTCAAGAAACTAATCATTTCTCACCACCCCTACTGCCGTTGTCATCTCTTGCCTGGATTACATCAGACCAGATCCCTGCTCCATCTTCCTGTTCTTTTGAGACAGAGTCTCACTCCGTTGCCCAGGCTGGAGTGCAGTGGCGCGATCTCGGCTCACTGCAGCCTCCACCTCCCAGGTTCAAGTGATTCTCCTGCCTCAGCCTCCCGAGTTGCTGGGATTATAGGCACCCGCAACCACACCTGGCTATTTTTTTTTTTGTAGTTTTAGTAGAGACAGGGTTTCCCCACCTTGGCCAGGCTGGTCTCGAACTCCTGACCTTAGGTGATCTGCCCACCTCAGCCTCCCAAAGTGCTGGGATTATAGGTGTGAGCCACCACACCCGGTCCTTGTTTGTTAACACATCCACCAGGTTGATTCTTTAAAGATCTAAGTCAGATTGGATCAGTCCCCTGATGAAAGCCCTTCTGCAACTTTCTCACTGAAATGTCCTCACTTTGGGCTTTGTTCTAGCTCCTGACTGGCCTCTGAGGCCCTGTGTGAGTGGGCCCTTGCATGGCCTGACTTCATCCTCCCACTCTACCCCCTCACCACTCTGCCTGCTATCAGAGTCTCAGTCCTACCTGGCATCTCATTCACCTTGAGGGAGAAGGCCAATTGAAAATAGTCTTCCAGTTCCTCTTTTGCTTTGAACCTGGATTTTCATAGTCCTTATTACTTACAGTTCTCTAAAATTCTCATTTATGGTCTGTTCCCCAACTAGAATATGAATTCTAGGGACATTATTGCTCATTCATGGCTGTTTCCCTGCATAGTAGACAATCAATACTTATTGAATAATTACACATGAATCTTTCCCCCCTTTAGTCTGACTGGTTGGCACAGGAGCTGGGGAGTATGCAGAAAGCAAAGAAGAATGTGGCAAGCTGTGCCCCAGAATTTGAAGTTTTCCTCACTCCATTAAAGAGGTGTACCTGTAGGACTTTCTGGGCTCGGATGTCAACCACAAGGACTCTGCTCAGTGCTGGCTGGGCCACATAGATGTACCGGTTCCGGACGTTGACTGCAGATGCCCACTGGCAGGGCTGGGTTGCATTTTTTTCTCTTTGAGGACAGATTTCTTCCTGCAAAAGAGATAGGCTGTCATATATCTTCTTAATTGCCCTTTCCCTCCAACATCTCTAGGTACCCTCTCCCCTGATTCTCCTCTGTGCCTTTTTTCCCCTCTCAGAATCCTTTGGATCCATAGAACAGAGCACCCAAGCCCTCCCACATCACCAACTTCTAACTTAACATTCCTTTAATTTTGGGGGGCTAAAACTCCTTTTGCACCCGCTCAGTTAGCAGCTTCCAGGTCCATGTTCTTCTATTCTGTATGCTACCTTCTCCCTCTCCTCATCCTCATTTTAAAAACTTCTGTTCATGGCCAAACTTCTGAAAGAGTTGCCTATACTCTTTCTCCACTTCCCACCTCTCGCATGCTCCTTAACACTCTGGCTCTAGTCCTCAGAGTTGACATTTTCTCCCAGAGGTCAACATGGACTCCTTACTTATTACGTTAAACCCGTGTTGACTCGCCCTCTGTTCCCTCTCCTCCATCCTCCCTTGGTGGCTGATCCTCTGTTGCTGGACTCTGCTCAGTGTGCTGATCTCTATATGCTAGCATGTCCAGGGTTCTTTCTTGTTTCTTTCTTCTCTAAAATCCACCCCCTTGTTACTCTCATTGAAACCTATGGCTTTAAACACAGTCTATGTGCTCACAATTCATACCCAATTCATACCTTTAGCTCAGGCCTCTTCCCCGAACTCCAGACTTGAATAACCAACTGCCTAGCTCCACTTGGTTGTTCAAAATCAACTCTTAATTTTACTTCCTAATCTTGCTCATTCTACTGAAAACCTGGCAATTGTGCTATTTTACTTCCATAGGCCAAAACCTTACAATCTAGTGAAAGGCCATCCTTGATGCCTCTAACCTCAGGCCCCATCCAATGTCTCACAAGTCATTTCAGCTTTACCTTCACAATATATCCAGAAATAGGCTCTGACCATTTCTGCTTCATCACCCTGGCTCAAGCCACGCTACCTGCCACTCAGGTGACTGCTATAGCATCTGGATATGCTCCTGGGTTCCACCATAGCCTCCCAACCTGTTCTTGACACAGCAGCCACAGGGATTGTTATAAAATGAAAGTCAGATCATGTGACTCGTCTTTCTCAATTCCCCCTCTCTCCCAATAACATTCTTTCTTGCTCAGAATAAAATCCCAAGTCTTTCCTACAAGGTCCTCTACGTTTGGTCTCCTGCTTTTCTCTTTCCCGCCCCACTCCACGCCATGGGCATGTTCAGCATTCCTCAGTCATGCTGCTCTCCTGCACCAGGGCTTTTGCCTTGGCTGTTCCTCTTGCTTGGAATATTCTTCCCCAGATATCTACAGGGTTTATTCTCTCATTTCCTTCAGGTCTCTGCTTAGTGTCACCTTATTGGGAGGTCTTCTCTGACCTCATCTATCTCAGCTCTCCTTCTACCCTTACTCTCTTACTGGCTGCATTTTTCATTTAACACTTGAGTTTCTGCATTCATTTGTCTAGCTGCGCACAGCCTTTCCTCCTTCGCTAGATTGTAAGTTCCTTGAGGGCAGGTCTTTGGTTCACTGCTGTATAATTAGCACCTAGTACAGTGCCTGGCACAAAGTCAGTGCTTAAAATGTATTTGTTGACAGAATAAATGAGTGAAAAAGGGGACCTTCTTTTCACTTGTCTTACATGATATACAGTCTCATGGTTTTCCTCATGACTGTGGCCCAACTCTGTCTCAATCTTCTTTGTGTTTCTTGTTAGTCTGCCTGTCCCTGAACTGTTGGTGACCCCAGGGTTCTGTTCTAAATGCCCATCTCAAATCACTTGTACCTGCCCTTGTCTGTCCCATTTGGCCAACACTCACATGCTAATGGCACCCAGATCTGTTTTTATCTCAGAACCTTCTTCTCTAGCTCCTGCTTAGTTCTCTCATGCTACCCCCATTTCTCTCCTAGGTGACTGCAATAGCATTGAAACCAGTCTCTCTCCTTTTACTCTTGTTCTCATATTTAATCCTTACATAACCCCAATTTGCCTATGAGACACCTGCGGCTTAGAAAGGCTAGGTAACTTTTCTAAAGCTACTTAGTCTACAGAGGTGGGATTTGAACCCAGGTCTACCTGGCTCTGAAGCCCATGTTCTTATCTGTGACATCACACTGCTTCTTTCTGGAAAATGTAGACATCTAAGCCAGCAGAGAGGCCTGACGTGGGATGCACCAGTCTCCTACTCACCAGCCCTTCAGGAAGAGGCTTGTCCCATTGTAACTCTCGTTAGGTGTTTGAGCAGTTTCTAGATGCAAAAATCGTTCTTTGGGATTGTTCCCCAGCTCACCACAGTCTTATGTTGCCTGAAACACCTTCAGGACCTCTGTGTCTTGTGTCTAGCTTCTTATCCAGGAAAACTGAATCCAGGTTAGGATTTGAGAGAGTCCCTCCAAGTTACAGGTTAGGTTATTACAAATATATGAGAAATGTGTGCCAATGTGATGGAGTGCAATTATTTAAACCTAATTGCTAGAACTCTTTCTAACTGGTTTCATAGCTGTTATTAATATATGGAAGGAACATTGATGGGAAATAACACTTCTAAAAAATAATTAACTCAAATTAAACAGCCTGGAAAACAGCTTTTCCCAAAGCCACAAATGTGAGAAATGGAACAGCCCGAGATATACCAATAGCCAGCACAGCAATGCTTTAGGAACTTGCCTGGGCCAAGCCCACTTCCTCCATGGGCTCCAAGTCCATAACTGTTCACTGAGTGAATTGTGCACAGTTATTGTGTACAACTGAGGACACACTGTGTGTATCCTCAAGGGGAAGGCATATGGGGGCTTGACATGACCCTTTGGGCTTCAACACTATAGTCCTATCCTCAAGGAGCTCAGGGTATCCCACAAGGCCAAGTGGGAAACAAGCCAGAGGAACGGAGGCCTGGTGTGGGGCTATAGCCCTGGGGCAGGCCTCCTAAGGCTATCCCGGAAGGGCTTTCCTGGATCCGCTATCAGCATCATCTCTCCTGCCTCTGCCCACTGAATGTTCCATTGTTATTTTCTACCTGGCCTTAGTTTCCTGAAGGCCACTGAGAAAACACCTGTTTGGCAGCTGTCTGTTCACATTGCTGTCTCCATCATTTGACTGTGAAATTCTGGAGGCCAGGAACCCATTTGTACCGCCTGGGCCTCACCTGAGGCTCAGTGCAGAGAAGTGGCTTCTGGATGAAGGAATGAGAGTTGTAAATTCTCGGCCTCCTCTATTCCTCTCTTAGCCTGGGAAAAAATTTGAAACCACACCACATATGGCAAATGGAATTTTAGAAATCAAATGGCATGCCTGGTTAAAGATGGACTTTTAGGATTTTGCCTGTGTATGATGTAGAAGCCGCCCCAGGCAGATACTTACATAGCTCATGAAAATCTTTTCCGTGGGTTTGAGGTGCCTCTGGATCTCACAGTCCATAGGATGGATGACGATGATGCCGTCGTCGGAGAAGACATAGAACATGTTTCCCACGCTGAGGCCTGGGAGGAGCAAATGGAATGGGCATGCCCCTCCAAGCAGTCGGCCCCTGGGCAGGGTCACACGCAGCATTGAACACACAAGAAACCGGCCACGTGGATGCATCTGGTGCAGGCACGAGATGCAATTCCTGGTCAGGGTGGGGTAGAATGAGCAGCCAGCTCGTAGCTGGATGGGTGCAGAGAGGGCCCTCAGGACTATGAATCAGTAAAGCATGTCACAGGCTGCGTACAGCTGCCCTAAGTCATCTAGGGTTGGCCACAGGTTTTCAGATAAAAGCCTTGGCTTTCACATGCATTTGACATTTCCTGTTCTGAAAGGGAAAGCCTCCCTTGATTGTTCATTATATACTAGTCACATCAGGATGGCTCAGTGGATGCCAAAGTAGCAAAGGTTTTCATTTGATTTTTTAAACCTGTGTATGTACAGTGTCACTTCCTGGAATGTGGAGTCCTAAGAATGCTGCCCTTTGCCCAAACTTTGTCCTGGCTGTGCTGGCCAACCCCTCTTTCCAGACAGCTTACTCTGACTTCTGCCCCCGTCCCCGCCACCCTTGTTTCTCTGTGGCAGCCCGTGCCAGGCAGCAGAACCTACACTCCAGTCATGCCCCCCTGCCTGCCCTGACCCCGGCCCAGGGCTGTGGCTGTCTGGGGAGAGGGTCTAAGCAAACTGGCCGAGAAGGGGCCTTGGGGACCAGTTAGCTCAGCCTCCTTATTTTAAAGACAAACAGGTCCAAGGAGGGAAAGGGACTTGTCTGAGGCCACCCGTCTCTGTGCCAGAGCTGGGGCTAGATCCTGGGCCCTGCCTTCTGGCCTCTGTCCCTCATTCTGTCTCTATAAAGGGGAAACAAGGTAAAAAGAGATGTAAGCTCTAGAGTGTTCCTTCCCTCTTTCCTTCTCCCTGTTTTTCTGTCTCCTCATTTCTCTCTCCCCTTTCCCTTTCTTTCTTCATTTCTTTTAAATCTAGAACATTAAGATCTCTATAAATTCTAGGGTAAACATGTAGAAAAATCTCTTTTCTAGTTTTTTTTTTTTTTTTTTTTTTTAGCATGCTGAAAAAACTGGTATGCTGGTTTAATGGACTATCTGGGCAAGTTTTTAGTGAGTTAGAAAACAATAACACAGGAATCACTGTTTTACTTTTTTCCAACAACTCTGCAGGCAGTTTTCTGGGCCTTAGGTCCTTGGCAACCCAGAGGCATTAATGTGGGTGGTCCTTGCTGTTGAACAAGGGGCTGACTCTATGATAACCCGCAGCCGCCTCCAGCGTCTGTGCTGAGTCAGGCTCTGGGCAGGAGGGCTCCTGCCAGCAGAAGCAGCTGGAAGCCAGCCTCGCAGAAGCTGCGAACACCAGGGAGTACCCAGCATAGCTCTCCATAAGCAATCCCTGGGGAATCTGGGGCACTGGGCAGCCTATTTCTCGAAAGCCAGATGAAGCTCACCTCCTGCCAAGAGTCTGGTCTTAGCTCCACAGCATCTTGGTGTTTGGAGCCAGCACTCCAGCACACACCTGCTCTGACCCCATCTCCCTCACCCACAACAGGAACTTCTCTTCTGTCCTCTTTCATCTGGCAAACTACTTCCACTCAAACCTAGGGGCCAGAGGGGGTCAAAGTCCCCGCTAAGCCACAAACTCCAGGAACAGCCACCCACGGCTGCTTGGAAAATTGGTAGCTGGAAGAACCAACATAAGACTGAAAGCATAATAGAGCCCACATGGGGTTTGTGGCTATAGCTACATGCCGGGCTGAGTGCAGTGCCTCGGCCTTGCTCACAGTCGGCCCTGGAATATGAGGCTCAACAAACAGTCATTCAACAAATAATCGACTTCACGGGATACCCCGCTGCCTGATCCAGCTCTCTGGAAGCTGCTTGAGTGTAGCTTCTGCTAACAGGGCCTGAAGGAGCTGTTTTTGCTTTTGTCTGTTCTCATCTCATTTCTCCTATTGAGACTTAAGTGTCCCCTGAGGCCTGCTGGCTTCTTCATTTTGGCTCCCTATCCCTATTTCCGGACCTCGACTTTCAGGAGTGAAGGGTACAAGCATCTAGCTACCCAGGCAGGATGGAATTTGTTCACTGCTCAATTGTTCAATATACCTACCAACCCTATGCCCCAAGGCGGCTGTGGGTCTTTAGTGGGCACTTGGGTCTTTACAGCTGATTTCACATCCCACAGGGCCTCTTGCATTCTTGGCAGGTCTCTACTTCTGAAACTTGAGACCCTTTGTAGTAACCTCCCCTTAGCAAAACACCACCTCTTAAACACTTGAGTGACTGTGCATCTCAACCTAGGTGCTGCTCGTTCAGCAGCCGTGAGAGCCTAAGGGACCGCCGTGATCAGCGACTGTTGCTATTGACAGCAGTTCCTCATTTTCTGGGCTCTGCCTTTGTTTTGTTCCCAGACTTATCATGTCAGCTTTAGTGCCTGACGTTCAGGGAATTGTTCTGAGTATGTGTCTGCATTCATATGCCAGACTGCAGGTAACACCGTGTGAAGTTCTTGAGGAAAAAATGAGATGGGAAATGTCTTGGTTTTCAAACAGGGAGATTTTGTGCTTAATCCATCAATCACAGGGTACCTCCTGCTGCTGCCCACTGAGCTAGAGAATGAGTTGCCACAAGGGGATCTGGACTCTTATCTGTTTGTGGGGACAGGGACCCGGGCACGTATCTGTACCCCACACAGTGACTCAGGCTCTGCCACCAGCTCCCACACGTGCCCACTATATTTTGAGTCATATGAAATTGTCAATATTAGACCACTATGATGCACAAAAATGGCAATTTCATATGGCTCAACTTACTAAAGATTTGCTTGATAAATATATTTCTGAAAATCTATACATTTAAAAATATACATTGGCAGAAATTATGGCAGCTTTTGTCCTCCGCATTTCCTTAATCAAAGCATATTTAAGGTACAGTGACTATCTAGTAGAGATCGACAACTTTTTTTGTCGTTTTTAAACCACACAAGATAAGCAAAGCACTAAATCCAACACCAGTCAGCTACTGGAAAAAAATTTAAGGCCCACATCCGACTAGGAACCCCTGCCAACTGTTCTGCTTCAGCGGAGGTTACAAGCCACTTTCAATGAAAGCTTTGCATTTAAAAATTTCTCATTAAAGACATGAGTACATTTTAAATTTGATTCAATGCATATGCCACTTGAACTTGACACTGACTTCCCGCTCCCATACTTGTAGGGCTGCTTTGCGTGTGGGAAACCTGATGGCAGTTCACGGAAAGATGGCCCATCACAGAACCACACACACATGATCACAAGCATAACGCAAAACAATGAAGCTTGGTACCTTCCTCTCGCCACAGGATGTTTGCAACTGGAGCAGCAGAGAATGAGGAAAGCAGGAATGTGAGGGAGGAAAGGAAAAAGAAGAAAGCAGTATCAAACTTTTACTGTAGTGATTCCATTTATGAAGATCCTGGTACCTAGTCCATCACTTACAGAATCTGCATTGCCCTAGGAACAGTATCTTGGGGGAAGCTCTGGACATGAACAAATGCTTTCAGGTCTCCAGACACTTTTGATTCCTAAGTAAATCTTTGAAATCATGCCCCAGGACCACAGAAGCTAATGGAATTTCTCACATTCTATGGATGATCAAGAGTAAGCAACATCTCTCCCAGATTTCCTGGACTACCACCAGGAGAAGTGACTTTCAACTAGGATTCTCCTAGGATGACCATGTGAAATACTTCTGATTATCTACTTTGATGAAAGTGGCTTAAGCCTGGAGACTTTGACCATGATCAACACCCACGTCTATGAAATCACACCTGCAGGCCTACCTGGGGAGCAGTGGTTATGAGGAGAGCACACTTAGCACACCGATGGGCCGGATCCCTAGCGTAAAGGCTACCACACTCCCAAAGGTGTGCATGTGTGCACAGGCCAGGTTCTGAGCCACTGTGGGACATCAGTACCTGGTGGGCGGATAGTGTAACTGATTTTGTGGATGAAGGGCAGAGGTTCAGGGCATACAGCAAGTAAAAAGCAGAGCTGGGACTCCACTATTTGGGTTTCCTTGTGTTCCCGGGCTCTGTCTGCTGTCCAGGGAGTCTCCCTGTCTGTTTTCAGAGCTGTCTAGGTTGCCAGGGAAGGCCTGCTCACCTCTGGGTGCCCTCTGATTCCAGCTTTATGCACAGAGAGATATGAAGTCCCTGTCTTCACGGACTCATGGTTGGCAGCTGTGGCCCTGGTCAACTGGTGCCCTCCTTTGCCACCCAACACCCCTCAGCCAGCTCAGAAGCATAAATGCAAGTGTCGACTCACGGGTCTTTCTAGCTGAGTCTTCAATGAAGAGCGAGGAGATATCTTCATCCACGCCCACTTCATTTTTGGCAATGCAGGTGTATGCCCCTGTGTCTTCATACCGAACACTGCTGATGTGGAGTTCGCTCCCATTGGCTGCAGAAAGGACAGTGCTCAGGGTGGACTGCTCAGCTGGAGATGCCCTCACTTTCCTTTACGGGGCTATGAGAGTGTTAGGGCTGCCCAGCCCCTGGGCAGCCAGCAGCCCTGATCATATGCCCAGGAAGGGCTGGCACATCTGAAATGCACTGAGGGTGAGCTGGACCCGAGTGACAGCTTCTCATTATTGCTCTCAGAAAGCTCAAAAAGACCTGTGTGAGCCCAGATAACAGGGAAATTTGGGAGCCATCTGTTCATTCCTAACCTGTCTGACTTAGAAACAAATTATACTTCTCATTTCCATTCCTGGCGTCTCAGCTGGATTTGAATGGGAATATCACATAGATGTCTACCAAGGGCAGTTCTTACCTAAAAGGGAGAGCTGTTTAGACATCTGAGTTGAGACATCCACGCCGTTTTTCAGCCAAGTGATTCTGGGCATGGGAATGCCCTCGGCATGGCATCTCAGGCTGGCCGCCACTCCGGGCTCCTGTGCCTGGCTCTCTGGATAGACGCGGATGACTGGCGGCACTGTGGGTGAGAGTCAGTGCTGGTGAGAAAGAGATGGCCCTGACCTGGACTTGGGCCTGTGGTCCAACCTGAGACCCTGCTCCAGAGGGGGTGAACCCAAGAGGTGACTGGAGTTCTGTGTTTAACCAGCTTACAATAATCCTGTCTAGCAACTCTAGCTCTAAAAGAAAGGGCTGTAAAATGGATTGCAGACAATAAACATGTCAGACTTTGTACCCTATGACTCATGGCTTTCATCATTATTCTAAATACGATCAGAAGGCCATCCAAATATTTAATGCTGTTCAGCTGCTACATGTAAAGAGCAGCAGCCACTGAAATTTATTTCTGAATAAAATGAATAAAATTTAGATATATTCCCTTTCTGTTATCAGAAAGCCATTGGATAGGGGTTAATTTCTTGCAGGAAATGTATCACAAAACACTTATGGCACTGACTGGCAGGGCCTCTGTTCTGGGGAAGTCCATTCATTTTCCAGTGGATCATTTTCATTTCTCCACTTCTCAACCCCCAGAACATGGGTGAAAGGCCAGGTGTGCCCTCCTCAGCTTGAAGTGACTCAGCCATGGGCCCTGGCAGTCAAGTTCAGGGTTGGGGGTGTGACCCTGCCCACTCACCAGACAAGCATGGGTGGGCAAGGCTCCACACCCTCCACAGAGCTCTGGCCCTACCCAGTGTGGCTGTGGGGAGGGACCTGGAAGAAGCAACGAGGGTCCTCCCTCCTACCCCTAGCTTTGGGTCCAGGAAATAAGTATCATTTTTAGTGGAATTGAGGGTTCTTCATTAGCTATACCTTTTACTTTACACACTTTCAAAAAGGATTTGTGAGATGTAAACATACCTGCATATTAAACTAAACTAAACTAAACACACTGCCCCTGGAGATGGGGGAGATGGATTCTTCTTGAAGTGGACAGCTACATTTTCCTAGAGTCATCTGGAAGTCCCTGTTGTTCAGTAAAAGAAAGCATCTAGTACTTTAGAACTGAGATTTTTTTTTGTTTTTTCTTGGGACCAGAGCATAGAACAAATTGGTACTTATGTAGAAACAGGCAATGGTGTGGATCCTGGGACCTGAGTGGGGTAGAATTTTTGTGACTCATGTGGGGTGGGCAGAGGATAAAGGAAAAACTCCACTGCCTCACTGTAAGAAATGAACTCTGTAGCTCCTGTCACAACTCCTCAGGGGCTGCTCATAATTCCATCAACTCAGTCTGAATTTCAAGTCTTCTCTTGTCTGTGGGACACAGTTGGGGGCAGGGGTGAAAGCTAAATGGACAACCGCCAAGGGAGACAATCCCATCCAATGGCCCAGAGCTGTGACAATAACATGAGCTCAGAGCACCCAATACCAAACCACACAGAGACCCAAAACAATAAAGTCGGAGTCCTCGCCTCAGTTTTTCTTTGTTTTAAGCTCTGGGGGAGAATGCCAGGGAGTGGCAGAAAAGCCTGTCACAAGTCAGGCCACTAAGGATGGAGGAGGTCCGCGGAGCTCCAGCGGAGGCACATCTGGAGGACTGCTTCCAACAGAAATGTGTGGCTCTCTTCTCTGACCCCTGTTTGATCCAAAGAGGAAAGAAAGAAACTTCCCTGCTTGATTCAAAGAGGAAAGAAACAAACTTCCCTACACCTTGCCTTGGGTAGAGGGAGGAGTGGGGTTCCCTTTGAATAGATAGAATTTTGGTCGGAATTCAGGAACACAGAGATAGAACCTGGAGTACTGGTCTGGGGGGGTGGTTGGAGAAGGTGGTAGGGTAGAGCCACCAGAGTTCTAGAGTAGGAATGGCCAGGACCTGGGGTTAATAAGCTTGGGTTCTTACTAGATCACTGTCTATTTCTACAAGCCTGCCTGGCAACCACAGAGTAAACTTAAATAAAGTAGAAGAATCATCAGTGGAGACAGAAGCAAAAATGAATGAATCAACCAGAAAGCTGAAGAGCAGAACTGGTAAAAAAAAAAAAAAAAAAATCTAAGAGCTGTTTGTAAAACCCAACAAAACAACTAAATTCCTGGGACGTTTGATCAATGTAAAAATAGAAAAAGAACACAGAGGGGATTAAAATATATGAGAACATTCAATTATTGGTAATAAATGTGAAAGTCTCAATGAAATGGATCATTTAAAAGGAAACTTTAGACCAGGTGTGGTGGCTCATGCCTATTATTTCAGCACTTTGGGAGGCCAAGGTGGGCGGATCCCTTGAATCCACATGTTCGAGACCAACCTGGGCAACATGGCAAAACCCCGTCTCTATCAACATACAAACATTAGTCAGGTGTGGTGGCACACACCTCTCTGGTCCCAGCTACTCAGGAGACTGAGGTGGGAGGATCCCTTGAGCCCACGAGGTCGAGGCTGTAGTGAGCCATGATTACGTCACTGCACTCCAGCCTGGGTGACACAGCAAGAACCTCTCTCAAATAATAATAATAAAAATAAAAAAGGAAACTTGGAAGTACCAGCATTGAATTAAGGGGAGAATATTTGAAACAACCGTAAAGTACTAGTAACTCAAAAGGCATTCTGACAAGTTTTTTTCAGATAATTCCTTCATTCATTTAAGGAATGAATAATTCTTAGAGCATAGAACAGGGAAGATGTTCCAAATTACATCATGAAGGTAGCATAACCTGGACACCAGAACCTGGCAGAGAATGCAAAAAAGACTACAGACTGATCTCACTTAAGACGAGATACACCAAAATTCTAAGTAAAATATCGACAAGTCAAATCTAGCATGGTATTAAAAGAACATACTATGGGCAAGGGTAATATGTTTCAATGGCTATTAGGAAATCTACCATTAATCATTCCGAAGTCAAAGAGAAAAACCATTCGATTCTCTTGTTAGACACTAGAAGGGCCTTTGAAAAAAGTTCAAAATCAATTTCTTGGGGAAAAACTCTCAATAAAATAGGAACAGAATGATATTTTCTTCATGCAATGAAGAATATCTCTATAAAAAGAAGAAACGGCACCATTCTTTTTCAAATGGTGAAACATTAATTTGGGAAAACAGAAGAAGGACAAAGGAAGGGAGGCAATACCAGACTCCCAATGTCATGCTGGATGTTGTCAATGGAAGGCAAGAAATGAGAGGTACAAATAGTACCAAGGTGGAGAAAAATGATATGTGGCTATATCCAGGTACTGCACTAATAAAGCTATAAGGATTAATTGGTACGTAAAGAGGCCAGTACCAAAACGTACAAAATTAACAGTTTGCTTATACACCAGCAATGGCCAGACAGAAAATATAATGGAAGTCAATGAAGAAAACAATAAAACTTCACTGATGATATTAAAAAAGGCTTGGATACTTGAAGAGAGATGTTCTTGGGTAGAAAGACTTAATATCATTAGGAAACAAATTCAAAATTAAGCTGTATGTTTAATCTAACTCCAATTAAAAAATCATTTGGTAGATGCCAGGTGCAGTGACTCATGTCTGTAATCCCAGCACTTTGGGAGGCTGAGGTGGGTGGATCGCTTGAGTCCAGGAGTTCAAGACCAGCCTGAGCAACATGGTGAAACCCTGATTCTACCAAAAATACAAAAAATTAGCCAGATATGGTGGCATGCACCTGTAATCCCAGCTACTTGGGAGGCTGAGATGGGAGGACTGCTTGAGCCTGGGAAGTTGAAGCTGCAGTGAGCCTAGATCATGCTATTGTACTCCAACCTGGGCAACTGAGGGAGACCCTGTCTTAAAAAAAAAAAAATCAACTGGTAGGGGCTTGACAAAACAATTCTGAATTTAGAAGAAAAAATATGCAAGAACAGCTGAGGAAATTTTGAAAAAGGAGAGTGATTGTATTTTGCTATACCAGATATTACAAAGTTTGACAAATGTTGCAAAGTGGGGTGGAGGGAGAGAGGACCACGGAAAAGCTGAGGGCCTTCTGAGTGTGGCACCACCTTGATGATCTTGCTGCATTTTACAAAGCTGTCAGTTCAATACTGTGTAGCCAAAGTTTACTAAATGCCAGCCAAGTGTCAGGCATGTCACACACAGCAGTGGGTGAGACAGCCTCAGGCCCTACCCTCATGGAGCTTTCTGTCTGGGGGAGGTGATTCAAGAATTAACCATGAGTGAGACAATCACTTCCAGAGGGAGCTTTGCGAGCATGGGGACAGTGGTCCCAGAAAATTGTCAGAATAGGGACTAGGCTCCACACTCTCAGTTCACCCAGGAAGTGCTTCCTGATGTCTGCAATGCCTGTCCTTTTACTGGTGGTGGGCTTGTCCAGTGAACTGGAAACTTAAGGAATGAGCTTGCCTCTGTATGGTGGGTGGTACACCGGCCCCTCAGTGAGGTGGCCAGCACCAGTGCTGGACACTGGCCTGTGCCTCAGCCCTGGCCTCTGATAGGAATCCTGCAGACCCACATGAATTGCAAAGAGGGCACATGGCGGGAGCTTGGTAAAGCACAATGCTGGGCTCACCCCCAGTGTCTGATTCCTAAGATCTGAGATGGGGCTGGAGGATGTGCATTTACCTAACAGGTTCCAAGGGAGACCCTGAGTCAGTCCTGACTTGGAAGCTCTCCCAGACCAATTCAGGGCTAATTTTGAACTGAAGTGCATGCCAGTGTTCTAGAACAAAATGAAACCTGACTGCAAGTCAAGGGTGTGGAATGAATCATTCACTTAAAAATACATGACTAGGCCGGGCGCGGTGGCTCACACCTGTAATCCCAGCACTTTGGGAGGCCGAGGCAGGTGGATCACGAGGTCAGGAGATCGAGACCATCCTGGCTAACACGGTGAAACCCTGTCTCTACTAAAAATACAAAAAATTAGCTGGGTGTGGTGGCGGGTGCCTGTAGTCCCAGCTACTTGGGAGGCTGAGGCAGGAGAATGGTGTGAACCCGGGAAGTGGAGCTTGCAGTGAGCTGAGATCGCACCACTGCACTCCAGCCTGGGCGACACAGCCAGACTCCATCAGAAAAAAAAAAAAAGACTAAATGCAAGACACCTGGGTCTCCATTAGCAGGGGCAAAAAAATGGCTCACATGTACCTAGAGTGAGATGCACACTCTGCTGGTCTTGAGGGTTTTTTGAGCCAAAGCAGGTAAGATGACTCCCCACTGGCCTCCAGCCCTTCAGCAGCACTAAAGAGGGAGCCTCAGATGTGTCTGCTCCAGCTCTGGTGCCCCTGTGTCTCCCCAGTTTTGCCCCAACTCTCTACTGGGGATCATTAGGCCTCTTCTCCTCCTGCCCCTTATCCCAGATCATGCCAATCTCCACAAGAAGCCTAGGCCTCTGGGGCATCCCTCCTCCCCAGAACCTTCTGTTATGCCTTCTGGAACTCATGTGCTGTCATTAGCAACATCTCCCACATCCTCAGACTCTTCTATGAGCGCTCCTTCACCTTCTTGCGCCAATGGAAACCTGGCTTCCTCCTGAGGATGCAGCTTCTCCTGCAGCGGCTTCAGAGGCAGCCCCTTTCTCTTGGTACCACTAGGGTGGGAGGTGGGGTAGGCATCCTCCTGGGCCCTCGTTGCCACTTCCAGACCATTCTCATGTCACGCCCACCTACTACCTAGACACCACCCCCGCTCGGACATAGCTCCCACGCCTTTCACTCCTGCATCTTGGTCCCCTTTTCTACTGGATTTTTCCTGTTAGCCCACATAATGCTTCTATTTCTCCTACCTTGGGGGAAAAAAAAAAACACAAAACCCTTCTCTTTATCCCAGTTTCTCTCTCAATTATGCCCCATTTTTCTCCTTGAAAACACCCTGAAGCGTTGTCCACACTCGAAGTTAGAGCCAGCTCTGGGCAGCTCCTACCTGTGCTGGAGCTCTGGATCCAGCCTCCCGCCAGGAGGATGGAACAATGTGGACAGGGAGCATCTATGTGGGTGTGTGAAGTTCCTGGGGCCCTGCCAGGAAAGGCGGAGACCAAGTTCTCTGCTGGCAACATGGCAGAGACCCAACTCTTTCCTTTGGCCCTGATCTCTTTTCTTTTGTGTTAATCCACACATTAAAAATAATGTGAAATTAATATATCCTAGGCACACACATTCATTTTCTCCCTTTTTTTTTGAGATAGAGTCTCCCTCTGTTGCCCAGGCTGGAGTGCAGCAGTGCTATATCAGCTCATTGCAAACTTCACCTGCCGGGTTCAAGCGATTCTCATGCCTCAGCCTCCCAAGTAGCTGGGATTACAGGCACATGCCACCACACATGGGTAATTTTTGTATTTTTTGTAGAGACAGGGTTTCACCATGTTGGCCAGGCTGGGCTCGAACTCTTGGGCTCAAGCGATCCAGCCTCAACCTCCCAAAGTGCTGTGATTTTAGGCGTGAGCCACCACACCAGCCTCATTTTCTCTTAAATTTGAAAACCTTCAAGTGAAAACATTTGCATCCATAACACAAAGGCCCACTGTCTTTGGGAAACACCGACCATTCCCAACGTGAAAGGCAGCGTAAATACATCCTTAAGTAGGAGGCACAGCCACGAAAGTAGCATGCGGGAGTAATAAACAGATTCAGGAGGTTATTATTGTGTTTTTGGGAATGAATCGCGACTTGTCTGAACTGTGGGGAGGTCAAGAGTGTTTTTAATTTAATGGATTAATCATTTATGTCTGAAGTTCTTTTTCCTTCCTATGAAAACAATGCAAGAGGTTTACCCAAAGTTATAAATCATTGTCAGTGCTCGGGCCACATCTCTGGGAGGTCTGGGCCATGGGCAAATTATACTAATAATTTGAAAGAGGAAGTAGTTGCCTGAAATGGTTTCTTTAGTCAATCGAGTCAGGGCAGAGTCATGGAAGGGGAAGTCCCAGAAGCTGGCGGCCCCGCCTGTGCATGGGATCCTGCCCCCGCTGCTGGCAGTGTGGCAGCTCCAGGGAGAAGCGGCCTATATTCTATTCTTGGTTTGAACATTTTCTCTGGGTCTTGATTTCCCAATCTGTATAATGGGAAGGAGGCTCTCTGAGGGGCCACCAGCTCTGACCATCTGTGTGCACCAGCTATAGCTAAATTTGGCTTGAGTTACACCAACAATCACCCCCGTGTCTGCCCTACCTTGGACTTTGAACTACATCCTCTGCCAGGCATTTCCCAAGCATTATATACATACTCTATTTCATCAGACCAGATTAAGGCAGCCAGCAGTGTGACCTAGAGGTCAGAGTATAGGGTTTGGATCCAGAGCAACACCCAGCAGTTATGTGACCCCAGGCAAGTGACCTTTTTTTTAGCAAATCATCCATGAAGTGGATTAAGATACATGGATGGGAAGGTCTACGTGAAGGGCTGATTACAGGGACTGACCAAGGCAAGTGCTGGGAAAACCCTGGCTGCTGTAATTACGAGGCAGTGAATTCTTCAGGGACTCCTGGCAACACAGAGGCCTGTGAGAATCAAGGAAAAGCTTCCAAGCCTCAGTTTCTGTCCTGGCTTGTCTAAGATGAGGCTCATTGGGCCTCCTGGGGAGGGAGATGGACACAAGCCCTTGTCGGAGGAAATAGAGGCTCCTAATTGAACAAGTGATATGGTTCCATACCACCTGGAAGGAGTGGTGGGTTTCAGTTTCTGCTCTCGCTGGATCCAGAGGCCACAGTGGCTCACCAGCACCGTGTTGCCTAAGGGGCAGGCTCCACACTCCACGTGGTCTGTGGGAGCCCCAGCTGCCGAGCGTGACTGGCCTGAATGGCTCACGCCATGGCACTTGGATTTGTTTCATCTGTGGAGGCTTTGGTTGGAGCCAAATAGGAAAATTGGTCAACAGACTCTGCCCTTTCCACACAGTTCCCCTTTACTTATAAGTGAGATGAGATATTTTGGGGTTAGATATTTCTTTAAGAAGACAGAATACAGGAGGGTGCGAGGGTTGATCTGAGCAGCAGTTTGGGGAGGCTTTGAGGGGACAACATGCATGGAGCCATTTACTAACCATTCACCTGCAGGACGTGGGTCTGGAACAGCTGCTCGTGGCCGGAAGCATGGCAGGTGTAATTGCCCATGTGGATGGTGGTCACCTTGGTGATGTACAGGGAATCATCCTCTCCGAAGTCCTGCACAGGGCAAAGACGACGATGAGACCGGCCTCTTTATTGAACAGGCTGGAAACCATAGCTGTCTCCTGCTTTTCCAGAAATCCTGCAGCTGGGAGAGAGTTCCTTTCCGCCTGGCCCTGGCTCAGCCAGAGCGGTCTGCAGGGGTGAGCCGTCCTGGGCAGCAGCAACCAACCCTATCTCGTCTTCACATGGTGGGCCCAGAGCCCTGCATCTGTTTAAGGCCTTGTGTACCTGGCACCTCCTCCATGAGGCCTGGTTTGAATCCTTCCCCCAGCACATGCGCTCTCAATTTCAAGCAACTAGGCCCACGTGTCCCCCCGTTTACCTGCTGCATGCTTGTTTCTCAGGGATCTGGCTCACCTGATGAGCAGCTCTGTTTCTGGAGGCCAGGCCTTGTTTGGAGCAGGGGTTAGCCGACTTTCTTAAGGGGCCAGCGAGCAGGTATTTTTGGCTTCATGGGTAACACAGTTTCTGCCAAATACCCAACTCCGCCATTACGGCATGAAAATAGCCTTCATGACATAAATTAATGAACGTGGCTGTGTTCCACTGAAGTTTTATTTAAAGTTGGTGGCCTGGATTTGGCCCATGGGCTGCAGTTGGCCTGCCTATGGTTTAGATCCCACCTCAATCCCAGAATGATTTCAGGCTGCTTGCAGAGATCTTGGTAACCCAAGGGAAGGGAAATAGAACTAAGGGGAAAATGGGGCAAACAAAAAAAAACAGGGCAGGAACATCAGAGAGCATGAGGAAGGGCAGAAGCCCACGGGTTCCACAGGAAATGGCTTAATAAGCCTCAGCACTGTCATCTCTGCAGCCTCACACGATGGGGTCTTATTGGGCCAGTGCATAGGGGAGGGATGGGAAGGAGGGGCTTTTGGCTGCGTCGGAGTCCCCTGATGAGCACTGGGCACCGAGCACTTGCCCAGTCAGCTGCCTTCCCTTTTGCAGCCCAATGCTGGCCCTTCTAGGCACCAACTACAGACATGCCAGGGATTGGAGTTACCCACTTTCTACAGAGAGCCCTCATCAGGTTGGGCCTTGGCTACCGGACATCTCCCAGGATATGGTGCTCAGAACTGATGGTACAGAGAAGGCCCAGGCTCACTGATGAGCACGGGGGCTGTGCACTGTCATCGGCGGGGAGTGATGGGAACTCAGGAGATCCAGGATTTAGCTTGAGCTCTGCCATTGACCAGCGTACCCAGTCTCTTGGGGCACTGGCTTCTCCACCTGTAAGTTGTGGACAATATATATGGCCGGCCTGCCTGCCTTATGCGGCGTTGGGAGATCTGGTGAGAAAATGTATACGAATGTATTTTTGAATGTGGGGTGCATGATATACATGGGGGATGTTATTTTTCTTGTTATTATTAGCAGAAGATGTAAAACTCCTCTTGACCTCCTGGAGCAAACACCAAATCATCCCTTCTGCCATTCCCTGACCCTTTCTGAGCTGCCTTTTCCCACAGAAGCATTCTGGTGGCAGGAGAGAAGGCCATGGTGGCATGAGGGCTAAGAGCAGCTGAGAGCAGCTCCCTGGGTCCTCCGCTGATATTCATGTGAGCTCCTGTCCCTGAAATGCCAGTGTTCTCTCTTGCTTACACTCCAGAGGGCCTGGCCACAGTGGTCCTGAAACCCCTTACAGACACTTTCTGGGATGGGTGCGGTGGCTCATGCCTGTAATCCCAACACTTCCAGAGGCCGAGGTGGGCGGATCACTTGAGGTCAGGAGTTTGAGACCAGCCTGGCCAACATGGTGAAACCCTATCTCTACTAAAAACACAACAACAACAACAACAACAACAAATTAGCTGGGCATGGACGTGGGCGCCTGTAGTCCCAGCTGCTCAGGAGGCTGAGGTGGAGGTTGCAGTGAGCTGAGATCGTGCCACTGCACTCCAGCCTGGGTGACAGAGCGAGACCCCACCTCAAAAAAAAAAACAAAAAAAACAACAAAAAAAGACACTTTCTAGCTAATTAGCCGGATGAAGGGGTGCCGGCCCAGAGTGAAGCTTGGGGTAGGGCAAAGGCAGGAAGGTAGACGGTGGGCACATGCAGCCTGCTTGCAATGTCAGGAGAAAAACTCCTAGCAGTGCTCCCAAAGAAGTAAAATGTTGCAGAGGCCTGCGGGAACCCTGAGAGTTTGCTGTGAAACATTGCTCTGCTTCAAAGAGCCCTTTTCTACCATTCTGCGGAAGCCTCCATAATAAAATAAAACACCAGATAGCTGATTTGTCCTGCATCATAACAGAGTGATAAAAGGTTCATACCTGAGTTGCTTATGAAAAGTTAATGACTAGTCAGTTCTGGGGCCGACATATTTCTAGTCTAAGCTGTTTCCTGTGTCAATACCTAAGTCTGGAGGAAAATCTCTTTAGCTTGGAGTCTCTGGTGGGATGGCATCCTGCGATGGTACAGCCATTTCAAAGGGAAAGGGGTGGCAGGGCTTGGAAACTCCTCAGGGCCCCATTTGGCGGGTCCCAGGGTAGACACCATCCCAGAGGGCAAAAACCAGAACTGCTTGCAGGGAGCCTGGCGCTGTGAACGTGCTGGCATTTTCCCTCCAAACTGCCTTCCTGAGCCTTCACACCCATAGCCCCTTCTCATGACGGCCCTTGAAGCTGGTCTCAGGCCCTGGCAGGCCCTGCCCTCATCACCACCTGTATGATGTTGCTTAGTCATCAGCACCACCACATTCCTCAGGTTGAGATGGGCCCTGGGCTCCGAGGGCTGCCTCAAGGCCACTGTTCCCAGATATCAGCCTCAGGATGATACCCATTAATACCAACATATGGTCTTCAGAGGTTACCGTGTGCTGGGAACTTACACATCACCTTGTATGTATTTAATCCTCAGGAAAAAAACCCTGAAAACCCCAATCCAGAAAACAAAACAAAAGCCCAGTTCCCCAGGGGCTGAGACACTAGGCTCTCCTTGCAGATTCATTCAGAGTGGGGTCTTCTCCCACCACCTCCACGGTTCCTGCTCTGGCCAGTCGCCACCTTCCTGGGGGATGCTAGGGACCCCGGCTTCCGGCCCACAGCCTCTGCCCTGAGGCAGATGCATCATGCCCCTCATACTCAGAGCCTTGTTTGCTGGGGGCCAGCCCCTCTCAGACCCTGTCTGCTCGCACGCTCCCCTTGCTGTTGCTCTAGGGTGCCAGGCATGCTCCCCTCCTCCCGGGCCGTCTGTCTGTCTCCCTCTCCTGCAAGTCTGCTCCAACCTTGTCTGGCTGCCCCATCTCTGGAGCCTAACCTCTGCCCTACACCCTGCTTGGCACCTCCTGTGGACCCACTGCTGTGCCGCCTGCTGCTTTCTGTACTTACCTCGTTTGCTGTCTGTCTTCCCCTGCAGAATGTGAGCTCTGCAGAGGAGGGCAGGGAGGCTTGTGCCCTGTGTGCATGGCACAGTCCTGGTGCACAGTGGGCCCTCAAAAAATAGCTGTCGAGTGGACTGCACAGGGCATTGAGCTAGGCTTTCTGTGGGGATTCTTTCAGTTTGACAGCCGAGGTGCCCACCTGCCTTCCCATCCACTCAAATATTACCCAGCCACACAGGCTCAAAATGAGGCAGCTGGCGGGAAGAGCAGAGCACTGGTCTCAAGTCTCATCCCCACTTCCTCACTTGTCCCCTTCTCCATCCTGCAGCCCTCGGGAGAACTCGAGGCTCCTTTGCGCTCCTCAGGCTGGGGCACGCGGGAATTGACCAAAGCTCAGAGCAGCAGGAAGAGCTGGAAAAGTCCATCACGCATGGATTCCCACCCTCTACTGATGACTTGTGCTGTGCCTCCGACATAGTCATTTAACCTCGCCGTCTGTTTTTTTCTTGCTTACCAAGTACAAATCCCTGCTCCCCAGGAGCAGAGACTTAACTCTTGGGCAATCACTCAGGTGCTAAGGGGTGTGTGTCAGCTCTTGGAGGACTTGAGGGGCTGCTGGGTGTGTTATGGCTCTTCTGTGAGCACCTAAGCATCACCTGCCTGTGGCCTCAGCACGGGGGAGAAGCTGACTCTGTAATAAGTAAAATAACATCTCTGGGTGAAAATGATGGGCATCATATAATGACAGAACAAAGTGCGTATTGTTTTCTGGATATGAATACCGGCTACAGAAATCAAATTTACCTCATTGAATGTGAGAAAATTACTTTAACAATTGATTTATAAGAAGCTACATAAAACTAAGCCTGCAATCCTTCCTCTCCTGAATGTTCTTTGAGATACATCTGAATACTGCTATCAACGCTTGATTGCATCTCTGTACTTGTCTCTTTATGGATAGCTTTTTTTTTTTTTTTTTTTTTGCTCTGATGCATAGAACTGTATTAGCAAAATCAAGGTTCCTTACAGAAATAAACAGATGTCAGATTAGACTATTCTTTGTATTGATGCATATCTGTTTTTTGGGAAAGAGATGATTTTAAAGACATGGTTCTTGCCTCTTAAAAAGCAATTTTCTAAGTATCTGCCCTTAATAAAGAACACAATTAAATGAGACTTAAGTATTAAACAATAGTTAAACAGAGATGAGATGGGGGATGTTATCACAGTGATCCATGGGAGTCAGGTATAAGCAATATGGAAGTGAGCCATCAATACTGAATATTTAGTGACTAAATGTTCAACGCAAGGACTCCAGAGTGATATTAGAGTTTAGGTTAATGATACTGTCAATGTTACAAGTTCAGACTCAGTTTAGAAACAATTATTCAGAGCTTTTCCAAGGTTGCCCTCCTCAGGAGCACCCCTGGCTCTCTTTGCAGGAGGAGGGAGTAAAGGGGGGGGTCTCTCCCCCCACAATCCTTAAATTCTGGCTGCTAGAATGCCACTAACTGTAGCATCTCACCGCACAGTCGAATGCAGCGAACCTAAACACAGAGTGACATGCAGTGCCTTGGTGATGGCCATTCCTCAAACACATCTAGACTTGCCTGGCCCTTATCCAGACCAAGCCAGGACAGCATGCACATGTGGATGAGCACACACAGGCATCCAC